AAAAACACAAAATTTCAGCTCAATTTTGTGTCCTATAGATTACCTAGGAATAAACAATAAAAAGCGCAGAACTCCTAAACGATTATAAAGCCGAATAAGTACTAAACACCCCTCTATGGCCAAAGTGATTATTAAGCTATGGGCATTAAGAATTAGCAACGAAAAAAAAGCAAAATTAAATGGAAGTTCCTGGCGAATTCAAAACCTAGGAATAATACGTGTTCTTAACATTGTAAATAGTGGATCCAGACGATATGTAAGAGTGATTTGATCAGAGGAAACCATGACAAAAAGAAGGAAACAAGTCACAGTAGGTAAAAAACATTTTAAGTTGAAATATTTGAGATAAAAGGAAAAATCAGCGCGGTATCACCTGATATAATATCTCGGCCGTATTGGCATTGCAACTTAGAATAGGTAAAATAAATATCTCTTCTCTGTTGAAGCCTGAAGTCCGGACTCGACAAACCCTTGAGTTAAAACTGAAGTTACTCTACGCAGCCTAAAATGATTAATAACCGAGGCAAGGTTAAGTGAAATTCAATTCCAAGGTAAGTACTATTCATATCATCGTATAAAAACTCAGAATCAATCCTACATTACTTCAAACCACCTAATAACTGCAGTTCCCACTCATTATTTATTTATTTGCTTTATATCAATATCCAACCATTTACAATGCAGCTGTGATCAAAACTACATTCTGTCAGTATGGAGGGCAAAGTACAAAGTTGTTTCACAAAGCCAGAACGATTAAAAGAGCAAAAAAAGCCAGTAAGCTCAGATTGAGGAGATGGAATTTATAGACTCAGTCGTACATATCGCATTGCTGTAGGACGCAAGTTTAATTATCAATTTAATCAGATACACCCAAGTTATCACTATTTAAAGTAAGATTTGTGAAAGTTTTAAAAGAAGGCTATATTCAGGTAATGAGCAGAACGTAAATGCACAATTAATCTTTGTATTTGGCCGTCTTATTCTGTCAAGTTGCTGTGGAAAAAACCTCACTCTCAACGGAGACAAACTTACATTCCATGTTGATAATCGCCATTTTCGCAAGGACAAGTGCACTGTCAGGTCTGTAAACTATACTCGACATTTTAGATGTAAATTGGCTGTTCAGATTAGAAGCAGTAGCATTTCTGGTATTTGGAGATGTCAATAAGCCATTACCAAGTGGGTCAATGCCGTAGATAGAGGACTAAAAGAGCAAACGAAAAGCAAAAGAAAGTCAGGGTAAATAAAGTATTAAATGTATGGAAAATAGTTGAATAATTAATCACAAATTTTTGGATCTAATTCTATTTAAGTAATACATAACAGTAAGAGTAAGAGTGAGTTGCTATTCAGACAGAAAGTCTTATTGAATTTGGCTAAAAATGAGGCTAGCATGATTCTTATCATTTTTTAAAGAGTGGAGAAATAGTGAAGATAATAATATCAGAAGCTACTCGTATCAAATTATGGAAGATGGTTTGCTTCTAATGTTTATAATCTAACCTTCCGAGGCCCGAACAGGTATCGGGCGAAATCTAAAAACACGCAGTAATGGTAGATATAGATATACCAATATTAGCATTAATTAAGTCGGGCTAGTGTATAAAATAAAAATGTGAGCTTGAGTAACAAAGGTAAGTGAAGTTAATATTAAGAAAGCTACGAAGAATTAATATAAAATAAAAAGGAAATAATGGAGAGTTAAAATAGTAGGAAAAAGAGATTTAGATTAAAAAAAGGAAGAGAAAATCACCTGAGAAATATCTGATGTCAACTCAGCCAATACATCATGCACCTCATTCAGCAGGTCCAGTTGGTCAGATGATAAGCCATTTGTGAGAATTCTAGCTAATTTGATCTGGACTTGAGCGAGTCCCTTGGTAAGATAAAGTGGGACCCGACAGACATATCCAGATTTATTCTATATATCAAATAGGATAAAAAACGTAGGAATGTAGAAAGGAAGAAGTGTTGAAAAAATTAAACGAAAGGAAAAATAATTTTGGAAAAATATCAAGGATTCTTTTGCGCTTATAAATGGAGCTTCGAGACTACCAGAAAATTAATGATATGAGATGTATTCATCCCACTTTGTTTAAGGTGATAAAGGACTGGTAGTTTAAATTCCAACAATGATATGGATAGAGCTGACGTTCCCATTGAATTTCACAGAGCCATGCTTCCACAAAAGGTGTTCTCCTCCAGGGTGAAATGCCGCTTACCAACTGGACTCGAACCATGACAATGCAACGTGTAATCTCAACAAGTTCACAAATGCGCTTTATCGCAACAAGTTCCCTTGGGTCAAGGATGATGTGAGTTTCAAGGAGGGCCAGGCGCTTTACCATACCAGATTCTTTAGTGGGATTGTCGATGGAGCAAACGTATTTTTGCTATAAGAATCAACTGCGTTACTTATTTTTCATATGTAATTAGAGTTTAGAGACGAGAAGATCAGTAATATGAGATGTATTCATTAGATTTCGCTTGAGTTGATGAAGAACTGGATTTGAAAATTTCCTAACGAAATAGATGAAATACATCACTTATAACTAATGTATTAAGAGTCTCGAAATTGTGCTTAACGAAAAAAATAATATTCGGAGATACGAAAACTAAGATGATGTGGCCCTTTATGTGGTTGCAGTCTCCTTTCGTTTTATAGAAGTTGTTTGACCTTATTCTCTCAACTTGATCATATTGGTATGAAGAGGAACGCACCTAGTCAGGAGTACATTGTATGCATGATAATTTCCAGTCGGACCATGGACGTGGCACATTCCCAGACGTTTCGCCTGCATCTTCAGTAAGTCTTGCTAGTCTTGGCACAATACTACAACTTGTCAGAGACAAATGAAGCCGATACTTTGACGAAATGTGTGCTAAACAGTTGGGGCATCTCTCCTTTTTTCATGGGCTATTCAGCTATCCAATATCCTCGTATCACGCCTTCAATGTTACAATTTTTCCTTTCTTATTTAAATCTAGCTTGGTATGCCCTTTTGAGAAGTTGTCATGCGAACCCTCCACATTTGACGCCGGCGATATCACCCCTTTACCCTTGTGCTGGGAATGTTGATCAGAGTCTGCAATATTGTTAAGCAGTCGTCCTTGCCTAGGTGTTTGCAGAGTCTCCCTCCGGCCTCGTATGATCCGTCTGCCTTCTTCCTGGTTCAAGTATTTCACTCGATCCTCTCCCACCCCAGCTTTGCACCTCAAGGCCTTATTAATCATTCCCTAGGTCTGGGTGACTAATTCGAGACTAAAGCCTCTAAGTAAATCTCATGGTCAAGCCTTTGATATATAGACCACGTCTATAGTAAAAGAGGCCTACTGTCAGCCAGCCAGCTTCAGTTTCCGCCTCGTCTATCTTGTTTGTATCCCTAATACCAAGTTGGTATGTCCTTGTCTCTTGTGTGCCAATCAATAAACATTGTGGCTCAATGTTAAACCTAATCAAAGCAAGCAGTACAACATTTATGGGTTAGAACACAAGATATTAGGACAGTGGTTCCCAAACTTTCCCTTAGTATTGAAAGTATGAAGACCAAGAAGCTGTAGCTTTTTTTGTGGTCGCAGTCTCCTTCCGTTGTATAGAAGCTGTTTGACCTTGTTTTCGCAACTTGGTCATATTGGTAGGAAGACTTATAGGAACGCACTTTGTCCTGAGTTCCATTCATGCATAATTATTTCCAAAGTCGGACCGTGGACGCAGTACATTCCCAAACATTTCGCCGGCATCATCAGTGAGTCTCGCCATTCGTAGCAGTATAGTACAACTCGTCAAATGGACAAGTGAAGCCCATCCTTTGACCAAACGTGTGCTAAACAGTTATGCTATCTCACCTGCCCTGGCCTATTCACATTTCCTATATCCTTCTATCATGCCTTCCCTGTCAGTTTTTACCGTGCTTATTTCTAATTCCTTGATGATTTTCAAAAAAAAACTCCATAGCATGAAACACCAGAAGTCACAGAGGGTTCGGGATCTGATAAATAAGAGGTATGACAAGAAATCGCTTAGCTATGGG